TTAAAAATTGTCCTTTAACTATTTCCAGAGGGGATTTGAGTCAGCAGCATCAAGTGAAACTTGCATATACAACATGGCCGTAAAAATGAAAATAAGCACCTCAAAGACTTCTTGGAAAAATAATCATTAAATGATTTGCGGGGGGAGGACTCATGAGATTACTGTAGTTAAGCGTGAATTAAATTTTTACAGATTTTCTTTATCGTCAAGTCAATAAGAAGATAGTTCATATTTTCCATGGTTAGTTATAATCTGACCAAAGAAATTCATTTTTCTTGGGAGATTAACCTTCATTCATTCATCAAATATGTATTGAATACCAACTGTGTGCTATGATAATGATAAAGCATATTGAGGATGCAGGAGTGAATAAAAAGGACCATCTCTACCCATATGGAAGCAGGCATATACACATATGATACATACAGGGAGGGAGAAGTAAGAACACTCTGTGCTGGAGGATTCAGGCAGTTTCACGGAGGACTCTGACATTCAGCTTGAGATGTAAGAGATCCCTAGCAATCAACTAGAAATCAGGCGTCCCCAAGCTGCAGCCCACGGGTCGCATGCGGCTCCCTGAGGCCATTTATCCGGCCCCCCGCCGCACTTCAGGAAGGGGCACCTCTTTCATTGGCGGTCAGTGAGAGGAGCACAGGATGTGGTGGCCTTCCAACGGTCTGAGGGACAGTGAACTGGCCCCCTGTGTAAAAAGTTTGGGGACGCCTGAACTAGATCGTTTAAAGACAATGGGGAAGCACATTGGTGTAGGTATCATTTCTGAGATGTGAGAGAGCTTGGCACAATGGACATGAAAGAAGGTCAGTGTATCTCAAAGAGAGGTAGAAGAGGTCGATTGGAGTCCATCGTTCCACTAACCTGTTGAAGATTTTTGAGCATGGAAGTAATATGATTACATATGCGTTTGCAATAAATCACTCTGCCTACCAAATGAAGGGCTCATTGAAGGAGAACAGTAGTAGACACGGGGAGACCAGTTTGGATGTTTTTGGAGAATTCATAATGAAAAATGGTGGTATCTTGGCATCGGATTATAGTAGTGGAAATGGTAAAATGTGGACATGTCTGTGAGTTATGGAATTCCCTGTTTAGAGAGTAGGATCAACGGGATTTAGTTCTTGAATGGGAAGTGAGGCAGAGTCTCAGAAGTGATTCCCAGTGTTCTCCTTTGAGCAACAACTGGGTGGATGAGAAAACCAAATGAAAAACAGATCAGGGTAGATGATGAAATCTGTTTTTTAATATATTGAGTCTGAAAAGCATATGAGACATTCAAGCAGACACATGAAATAGATAGTTGAGGATTTGGGCTTAGTATTCAGAATACAGATGAATTCTGGAGATAGAAATTCTAAAGTGTTCATAATATAGAAGATATATCAAGTTGTGGGCATGATCCTGGAGACAGTAAATAAAGAGAGAAAAGCCAAGGTCTGCTGTCAAATAAAAGGAATCATTATTCGCTGGCTCTTGGGCAATAAGTTGGCTACTGTCATTGGTAACAATTTCACAAAAAGATTTAAGAAGCATTTTATTTGTCATAATATAAAATCCCATTTGATGCAGATAGATAGTTTTCTGGTGAGCTCAGTTGATCCAGAGATAAAGATTTAAAAATTCCCAGGGACATTTGGCTAACATTCACTTCCAGTGGTTCTCAACTAGAGAGGAAACCACCTTCTGATGGGGGAGTTTGGAAATGAATGGGCATATTTTTATAAACTGTCACAATAACTATCATTTAATGGGTAGGGTGCAAAACACATAACTGTCAAACTCAAGAAGACCATAGTACTATGGTGAGAGACCCTGATAAACTCTTGTGCCACATATATTTCTCTGACTTGCTGATTGTTAAGTTCCCAGCTGCCTGTCAACAGTCACCGACCCTTTCTCGATTTTCACCTCTGCAGCACTCTCTTTGTCCTGAGCCTAGAGGAGATGACAGCTCTGCCTCTGCTAGCCCCATATTATTTCCCTGTCCTTCATGACCCCTCTGCAATTGCATGGGGCTATGTACATAGGACCTGTGTAAATCAGATCCTTGAGAAGACCTAGTTGGTGTGTGCTGTCATTTTTCTTGGAGTCCTGACTCTTACAGCTATCTTTCCCACGTATCATTTGTCTCAAATACAGTTTCCTAGGATCTTGTAATTCCAGATTTAGCTTCCTGTTAAGTTACAAGAAGCTCTTGAATAAAGTGGTATCTTTTTTTGTTTGTTTGTTTTGTTGTGTGTGTGTGTGTATGGTTTGTATATATATATATTAGTCTTTCAAAGGATAAACTTGTCATTTACTTTTGTAATTTAAGCAGACTGGATATTCTTGTCTTTGTGGTGGAGTGGTTTTTCCTTTCTGCTTGAAGGTGGTCCCAATAGTACTAAATAAAAACATAGTTTCCTCATTAAGCAATTTGTTAAAATATGTATGTTCAAGACGTTCCTAAAAAATACTCAGTTAAGACTTCCAACATTCTATTACAGAAGACATGGAAAAATCATTTTGAACCTAGAAAAAGTTTAAGGTCAGATTTTTCTAGTCACTCATACCAGTCGTAAAAAAGTCAGCGTAGATGGGCATTGAATGAAAGACAGAATAAAGCTTTGCTTTTCTTTGATGACTCAAGATCAGCAGAAACCCAGAGTTCCTATTTTGAACACTTTACAAACCCAACTATAAATGGAGACAGTGACTGAGCAACTGGGTTGATGACAGGCATGCTCTCTGCTGCAGCTGTAAAGTCTGTCCCAAGAAAACAGTTCAAAATTCACATATTTTGGAAATGAAAACCAATAACATTCACAAACAAAAAAGAATTAATATAGACCTGACTCCTTAGAAGTAACTTTTTTCATAGGTTTTTTTTTCTCTCTCTCGGTGAAGACCGCGCGCGCGCGCGCACGCACACGCACACACACACACTTTAAACATCCTAATGTCTTTGAATTAAACAATCAGGGCACAATTTCAGGAGCTATTGCTCTCTTCCAGGAAATATCTCACTACTAGAGTTCTCTTTGGAGATGAGAAGATTTTCTCAACTTTATTATGAATTCTGTTGTGTACGTGTGAGAATGTTTCTGAATATTTTACATATTATAACTATATGCTTGAAAATAGCATATTTAGGTATATATAAATATATGTGTGTGTGTGTGTGTGTGTGTGTACACGCACACACACACACACACAGACACACATTTCTTTTTCTTTGCAATTTTATGTGCCTTACATCATGGGAGGTGGAAGGGGTAAAGAACAGGAATTATTTTAAAGCATATTTATTTATGTTCTTTATGGTTAAAGAAAACTATGCCAACATTCTTCTGGCCCACATATTCAATTAAATACATAGTGAATGTTTTCTACTTACCGGATTATTTGGTGCTTCCAGGTACTTATTTTTGGCATTTCATTTCATTTTTGTTTTTGCTGGAATTTTTGAAGTTTTATTATGATTTAACATTTTTATTTTGAAAATCAGGCACATTTTAAAAAATTACTCTGCTGCAGCTGTAGTCCACCCCCAAAAACAGATAGTTCAAAATTCACATATTTTGAAAATAAAAATGCAGGTATAGAAATTTACATATACAGATTACTTGTTTATGGTTTTTTATTTATATATAAATCTATACAATCATCTATAAATACAGATATGCAAAGATGTTATTTTTTTGAGAATTGAATCTCTGTAGCAATCATTTTTTATGTGGTATTTTTCCATTAGTCATTTTCTTTCTTCTTTTTTTTTAAATTTGAAGAATATTTGCAAAGGATTTGGTCATTTTCTAAGCATCTTCACATGTAAAGCTCTGTGAGGTCAATGAGGGGAGGGTGGTATCCTAGGATGAGTAATGTGTCTCTCCCTGTCCCCCAATCTGGTAGAGAAGCTATGCATAATAGGTTAGACTGAATAGATTTCTACAGTTTCAATCAGAATTAGCTGTGGCCATGAGATAAGAATGGACAAGGTGCACCCCTTGTGTGTCTGCCTTCTCTCTAAGAGCAGACCCTCCACTTCCCTTTTATTCAAGTTAAAATGTTACATTCATGTTACATTGCTCTATCTCGCTATTCTTCATGACCAATGTCACAAAACTTTTTCTCTATGTTACTTCTTTTAGAAGTTGAAGTTTCAGGTCTTTCTCATCTTTAAGCCTTTAACCCATTTTTAGTTAATGATGTCAGATTAGGATCCAGTATCATTCTTTTGCATGTGTATCTCTAGTTTCCCTAACATCATTTATGGAATAAATTGTTCTTACCCGTCATGCATTCTTTGCCCCCTAATAAAAAAATCCATTGACTGTATATGCGTGGATGTATTTCTGGACCATCTGTTCTGTTCTGTTGGGCTGTATATCTTGTTTTATGCCAGTACATTGTTTTGATAACTGTAGCTTTGTAATATATTTTGAAATCAGAGATTGTAATGCCTCTGGCTTTGTTCTTGGCTTCAAGATTAATGTGGCTTTTTGTGGCCTTTTGTGGTTCCATGTGAATTTTAGAATTGTTTTTTCTATGAATGTTAAATGTCATTTTGGTATTTGGATAGGGATCTCATTGAATCGGTAGATAACTTTGGGTAGGATACACATTTTAACAATATCAAGTCTTTCAATCCATTAACACAGATGTTTTTCCATTTGTTTGTGTCTTGTCTAATTTCTTTCACCAGCGTTTAATAGTGTTCAGTGTATAATCTTTCTCCTCAGATAATTTTTTCTAAGTTTTTTATGCTATTGTAAATTGATTTTTTTTTCCTTTCCTTTTCTGTTGTTCACTGGCAATGCACAGATACATAACTGATTTTTAGGTTAGTCTGTGATCTCTGAAGGCAAGATCATGCCTTATTTGTATTCTGCATAAATACATAAATAACAATTAGCAGTTACTAATTTTTTATTTGCATATTTTTATTGAGTTCTTTGGCAGTAATTTTTGTTTTCTTTCTTCCTTTTTCTTCCTGTTCTTCTCAGGGCTCCAGTAGTTCTACAGCCTCTCCTCCAGTTTCGACCCCAGTCACAGGACACAAGAGAATGGTCATCCCGAACCAACCCCCTCTAACAGCAACCAAAAAGTCTACATTGAAACCACAGCCTGCACCCCAGGCTGGACCCATCTCTGTGGCTCCAATCGGAACACTCAAGCCCCAGCCTCAGCCAGTCCCAGCCTCCTACACCACGGCCTCCACTTCTTCAAGGCCTACCTTTAATGTGCAGGTGAAGTCAGCCCAGCCCAGCCCTCATTACATGGCTGCCCCTTCGTCAGGACAAATGTATGGCTCAGGGCCCCAGGGCTATAACACTCAGCCAATTCCCGTCTCTGGGCAGTGTCCACCTTCTTCAACACGGGGAGGCATGGATTATGCCTACATTCCACCACCAGGACTTCAACCTGAGCCTGGGTACGGGTACACCCCCAACCAGGGACGCTATTATGAAGGCTACTATGCAGCAGGGCCAGGCTATGGGGGCAGAAATGACTCTGATCCTGCCTATGGTCAACAAGGTCACACAAATACTTGGAAACGGGAGCCAGGGTACACTCCTCCTGGAGCAGGGAACCAGAACCCTGCTGGGATGTATCCAGCCAGTGGTCCCAAGAAGACCTATATCACAGATCCTGTTTCAGCTCCCTGTGCACCGCCATTGCAGCCAAAGGTAAGAAATTCATTAACGTAATGAGGAGAATACGGTTGTGCCTCTCTCAGTCTGCCTTCCCCAGAAAGCAAAGCCTAAGGCAAACGTGTATGTGTTGCTTTTACTTCACTAACAAATACAATCCCAGGGAAGCGTGAGTGAAGCCAGAGAGGAGAGAGAGACTATTTGGTAAATTACCAGTATGGCCACTGTTTAGTATCAAATGGAATTACTTGCTCAGTCTTGAAGAATCATCTTTCAAAAGGCCATAGAAACCATAGCATCTCAGGAGAATTTATTTTTCACATCCTTCCCCATATTAATTCAGGCTTCCATCTATTATGCAGAAACTTCCACATTTGCTTGGACATTAAATAGCAGTGTAGCATCTCAAGCCTCAGCAAGGCTAGCGATCTATAGGTGAGACACGTGGAGGGCAAAACGGAGGTGATCTGTTGTCAGGCTGTGGCGCTCTGAAGGCAGTCATGACTCCCGCAGTGTTGGTGCCACAGTGATTGCTGAGGCAGAACAGGCAGCCAAGGACCCAGGAGATGGATGAGGTCAAGCAGGTCTAAGATACTGCGAACACCTTGGCTAGTTTCTCCTTTGAGAAGGGGCTGCAGTATAATGTGGCTTGTTCGTGACCCCTTGTCTATTCATTTTACTGATCCTCCTGAAAGAATCTTATTCTTCACCTTTTAGCACTGTTAAGCAATGTTTAAAAACTCCTTATGAGTGATGGTTACATCTTATTTGACTTAATTGTCTGTATGTCCATCTTTTACGTTAACACTCTCTGTTACTTCTTCTGAATAGGTAAGGTATAATACTGCATGTGTCCACTCACCACAGCTTGGATTTTTCATTAGTACTGGAACCAACATGATGTTGATTCCTACCATTATGACGAGAGGAACCAATGAGAACAACTTGGAATGGGTGAAAATAGAGGAACTGGGCCAGTTTCCAGCCATTTGGGTTGGAAGAGTGCCCTTCTTTCATTTCAGTTAGAACTGTGCGAAATCAGAAATTTGAGAGCCCTCAATTAGCTAGAAGATGAATGGTAGTTTTGGGGGATGGATTGGGTAGAAGTTTGGACTGTATTTTTAAAATTCTTCCCACGTTTTTAACAAGATGGTCAATTTCAAGACAGAGCTATTCACATATTTAACATTATATCAAAAATCTCCTTAGAGGGTGTTTACTAAAGTATTTTTCTTATATGAAAGTTTCTGCCATATTAATGGTGTCCTTTGTAAATTTCAGGTTCTATAGGGGAATAGAGCCCTTCCTGACAGTGGGGACTGTGAAGAGCTGGAGAAATTCAGCTCAAGAAATCCATTAGCTTTATGCGTGACCACTATATGGAAGTGGCCAGCCATGATCCTTTTCCAATAGATAGATTCCAAGTTAGAATTTTAAGTGATTTTAAACATTACTCAGTTTCTGAAGTCTCTCTATGAAAAGAAATATTATTACAGCTTTTTATTTCTTTTAAAAATAAATTTGTCCAAAATAGCCAATCTGAACAGCCTTGCTCTTTGTTAATGTCACAGTATGTTTGTATCACTTCCTCCTGGCCCAGACAAGGGGAGTCTATTTTCAAAACAACCAGTTCAGAGAAACAGATTATTCAACTTAGCCACACTTTCTGTTTTTAACAATTGCAGCAGATTCACCTAGGGAAGATTACAGTAAAATAAAATTGTAGGTCAGAACAATTGCTGCCGACATTTAAGTTCAAATAGATAGGCAATTTTGCCCTGCCCAAAGCAGCGTGACCAAAAGCATGGCTAGTGATGTTCCTGAAGGAAGGAGATGGGGTCTGTGTTGCTTGAGGATTATATTATCCCGCGTAAGAGTCAGATTTGAGAGAAAGCAAAACAATGTGCACTGAAGAGTCTCACCTGGAGGAGTACTGAGCTTCAGGTGTTGTTTTCTCATTAAGTCACTGGGAACTCTGACCAGCCCCTCTTAAGCGTTTGGAATCCGTCCGTTGGTGTAGGAGAAAGAATCAGCCCCCACTGCTAGAACTGGATCTAAAACGCTGAGTCCAGCCACATCCTTAACATTTGGCTCATCCTCACCAACTGACCCAGGGAGATGGAATGAATTTTTATGAACCACTCATCAGAAAACATGGAACTTTATTCCGCTTCTTATTTGAGCAAGGTGGTTATTCAAGATGATCTATTAGATGATTTACAGATTCCGGATATCAGATTTTATGTTATTTTAAAATTTTTTGATATATTTGTTTTTCAACAGTTTCATGTGTTTTCACATCATATTCGGTTGTGCATTTTTAAAATGAAAATCAAATCATGTACTTTCACTCTGATTATTAAGAGTGGTTAGAGGTTGATATTTAGCCATCTGTCTGTCTGTGCTTTGGGAAAGGAGAAAAAGGCTGATGAAGCTATGGATAAATTGTATGTGCGCTGTGAGGGCATTGGCTGATGAAGGGGTGGTTTTCTTCACAGTTGGCCTTTGAGCAAAACAGTACTGTATTCTACTGCACCTGTGCACAGAGGACCTTATTGTCCTTATATTGACAATAAGGTTTGGCTTAATTATGTGACTACGGGCATGAGAAATGAGCTCCTACTTCTTGACCCAGTTCTTTTGTTGACATTCCTCTTCCAGTTTGAGGAAAACCTCTAGACCTCTTTATATCACGCTTCAAACCCTAGTAAAGTAGAACATCGTCTTTACTAATTAATTAATGATTGCAAAAGGCTTGGAAATTTCCAAGGACTGAATAATTGCCAAGTGAGGACTGTTCAGCTTTCCACTGGCTTTCATTTATTTTTAATCTTTCTTTAGTCACTGATGGAAAACTTACCCTCATGTCTGAAAACAATTATACTTATTATATTGAGTAATTCTGGGGACTTTGGCATTTAACCCGTTAAGGAAAAAGTTTAAAAGATGAAATAAATAAATCTCCCCAGTATTTGAGATGAGCTGCTTTAGTCTGCCTATATCAAGATAGTATAAAAGCGGAATATAGTATAGTAAAAAAGAGGTGAGACAGGATGGGGAAACGGAGGAAGGAAGGAAGGAAGGAGAGAAGGAAAGAAAAAGAAAGGGGAAGAAATGAAGAAAAAGGAAAGAGACAGGATGAAAACCTGCAAGGCTTAGGGGATCATGATTATATTTATGTTCCCATAATATGCTGAGCAGTGAATTTGCATGCTACGGTAGGCCATGCTGTTTTTCGTATACCATCTGAGCTGAGTTCCTTGCAAAATATTGTTATAAATAAGTCATCATAAGGCAGAAACGTGCTCTTCTCACTGGAAATCCTCTTACAGATACGGTAGAATCTCTTCTGTTTGCTGATTTATAAAAGCTAATGTTAGATACATCTTGCTGTGTTGTGCACAGGCCTCTAGTCTTGTGCATTAGTTATATCCCTGTGAGTCAGGATGCACTTTTTCTCCAGTATTTAGATACGGTGGCTCAGCTTGAAAGTTCCAGAGCCAGGACCTGGAAGCTAGTCAGGACTCTCAGGTCTAAAGTGACCAGGCAACTTTAGCCTCCACTTATCGTAAAAACTCATCTTTGTCAGCTTCAGCTGTTAAAGGGACAGGTATTTGCTACATAGTGTGTGAAAGCGCTGGGGCTGTGTCTCCCAGGAAAGTTGGAGAATCTCGTCCCCATGAGTGTAGAGGTTATGTTAAATTCTGAAACCACATAATTAAAATTTTCTTGAAAAATATTTCAGGAAAAAGAAACCTTATTCTTAAGCATTTCAAATTTCGGATGCTCTTTTAAATGGTATTTTAAAATTTGTTTACAATCATTTGTTATTAGCATATAGAAATAACAATAGATTTTTGTATACTGATTTTGTATCCTACAGTTTGTTAAATGTAATAGTTCTACTAGCTTCTTTAATAAGACTTCTTAGGCAGTTCTTCCTGATCATTTTATCTGCAAATCGTTGATGCAATTGTTTATTTCCTTTCTGGATAAGTCTATTCATCAACATTTTATGTTTGAAAGATTTGCTTGCTGATTGGAAAAGAAACAGTATCATACAACTTTGGAGGAAATAAGTTGGAAAAAATAAGAAATCTTTACTCTCCACTTCCGTAGGCTAGCCTGCTTAAACCATCAGACATAGAAGCAATTTTCAAAGTGTGAAACACTCATATAAGGGCTTTTAGGTCCTAACCCCTTACATTTACAGATGAGATAACCGAGGTCTGAAGAATCACAATGACTTTCAGAGTTATGTAGTTAGTAAAATGACCACATGTGAGTACAAAATGTAACTCTTCTTTCTATTCTACAATTCTTCTCTACACTGGTTAACAATAGTTCAAGACAGGGGAGGTCACAAGTAAATGACCTTTTAAAGGTGTAATAATAACTATTGTCGGAATTGTCGTATTTCCTATCTTTAGAACCCCATCATCAGTTTTGTAAGGCAACTTAATAATAGAAAATGGCTCCTGTTCTAGTGTTCTCCCTATTCTGTCTCACAGCTACTCCCATGAAAACACTTGTTGATAGGCTCTCTGTAATTTTAACTCAGTCCATGATCTCTCTATACTGATTTTAAAAGTTATCGTCAGAATGGATGTGCTAGTATACTAAGAATGTCTGTGAATGTTATTTATTTCTTTTTCTTAGCTAATTGTTTTCATATATTCGGTTGTTTAAAAATAAACTAGGTCTTTTAGTCATGAAATCCTTGCCTATGCCTATGTCACGAATAGTTTTGCCTATGTTTTCTTCTAGGGCTTTTATGGTGTTAGGTCTTATGTTTAAATCTTTAATCCATCTGGAGTTAATTTTTGTATAAACTGTAAGGAATGGGTCCAGTTTCAGCTTTCTGCACATGGTTAGCCAGTTTTCCCAACACCATTTATTAAACAGGGAATCCTTTCCCCATTGCTTGTTTTTGCCAGGTTTGTCAAAGGTCAGATGGTTTTAGGTGTGTGGCATTATTTCCGAGGCCTCTGTTCTGTTTCATTCGTCTATATCTCTGTTTTGGTACCAGTACCATG